AGTTCGAATTAAAAGTTTGTTGAGAAATGGTACGACCCATTCAGAAAATTTTCCTTTTGGAGATACCTACATCAGTTGAAAAGGATCCAAAATGAAAACGGAAAACATTTCTTGACGCAGCAATCTCTTCCTACTACACAACGAACCAAAAAACTGGTGACAAGAAGTAGATGGAGTATTAAGTTGCCTCAAAGACTTTTGGATTGTTATTTTGAACTGAGAATTTTATTACGCATTTTGATTAATAAGTGTATATTATTAATCAAACGATTGAATGATTGTGTTATTAATTAGTTAATCCTATCTGCAACTGTATTGCAAATATTATCTGTATCTAGGCAGTTCTTCTAATGATATTTTTTTCTTGTAGATTGCGTGTGTGATGACTTCTCACAAAATTACATAACTCAGCAAATATCGTTGTTTAGTAAAAAGAGAAGATTTGAATAGCGTACTTACTCCTCACTTTTGCAGATATATCTTATACCTATTAATAAACCGTTGATTTTTCATATATTGTTCTTACATTCCTCTTAAGTAAGTTGTTAAAGAAAACTATAACTTAATATTTATAAAATATTTTTACGCATTATTAGTTAGTTCTTAGTCAGTTCAAGTATATAGTTATATAAAACTTGCATGCAAAACGCCAAAGTGCCCTGAAGCCAGATTTACGTCTCTGAATTTTTACGATAAGAAATAAATCTTGCCAAAAATAAAATACTTCTAGAATGAAATTTTGTTTTCCTATTTATAGCCAAAAAATATCGCATAAATGAGCAAAATTATGCAAGCAATAAGTTAAACTTTACCAAACTTTTGGATATGAAACATTTGCTATAAAACAATGCATAAATATTGTTTGAGACAAACAGTGTACATAATACCGCTGTACAAAATAAAATGAAAAAGGGTATTTAAATATGGGGCCGAAATGTCAGAGTGAAACTTAGCTTCTAATTTATCGAGACTGAATAGTTTCTAATCCATTGAGACTGAATTAGACTTCCTACACTTAAATCATTAATCCTTCAAAGCATTTCCCCTTAATAGCATAACACATTTTGTGCCTCTAATTAAATATTCGAATAATATAACATGACTAAGTTTAAGATCAATGAACTAAATTGGTTAATAAGTAAAATAAATTAAACAAATAATTAAATTAGTCATGAAATTTTATTTTGATTATTAAATATAAAATATTGTTAAAAATGTTCCATACTACATGTAAATTATTTTAGTTAAAATATTGCTATTCAGATCAAGTAACACCAATATAGCTTGCAATAGTAATAACAAAATATATGAAGAAAAGGAGGATACATAAATTTTCTTGTTCAATAATGAAAACAAAATTAATAGATTTAAATAAAGTATTAAATAATGCTTTTAAATACCTACTATTATCAAATTTACATATTTAAATGTCTTTATTCAACCTATCATTCATGAAATTCTGAAAACTTAAAAAAAAGGGGGGAATCTACATTATTAGTAAAAGAAAAAAGAAACATCAAGTAATTTACAGTTAAGATATAAGTATTTTCAAGAAGTACAGTTTAATTAAGTTTACAGTCTGAAAATTGCTTGTCATTATATTTCTTATTTAACTTGTGAACCAAAGCATTATAATGTGCATTTTTTTTTAAATCTGAATCTATGCGAAATATAAAAGCAATATTGCTGAATTAAAAGCCTTAAAAGTTAAACATGAAATCAACTGGTCTCTTCCTTTAATGCATACAAATACGTTACAAATCTCGAAAAATATTTCGCAAATGAAGTTTTCTTATTAGTTTGTTTTTATAATTTTTTATTCCAAAGCGGCTTTGTCCCTCAGACTATTGTTTTCGTTTTGCGATTTTGCGTTGAATCACTATAAATGTCCGTTTCACTTTTCAAACTGTTGCCACCCAATGCTAGAGTCCTGCATTATATTTGAAGAAATTAAACAATGAGAAATCTGCATAAATTTATGCATATTTCTCGCATTGTGATAAAACGGTACATAGAGCCATCGTATTTTGAAGGACGTAATCCTCCTACCAATATAGGCATGTGGAAGACCAAATTTGAAATTTAGAATTTGTTTTGTTATCGGTTAAATATTTTGTAAAACTTTAACGAATTTTTGAGTAATAAACTCAACAATTTAAAAGCGAGTAATGGCAACACTATACAGGGAAAAAAAAAAAAAAAACCTTTTTATCTCCAACGGGCGCGGAACTGTATATCGGAAATTCTAAAGATACGCTCATCTTAAAATTATTTGGCGACATTGCTACTGAACTAAATTTTATGGATTAAGTGCAAAGAGCATGATATTTAATCAATAAAGGTCATGATATTTAATCAATAAAGGTAACTCATAAAACGTTAAAAAAACGCCCTTTTGGACGTTTTCTTGCAGTTCTTACAATGCATTTTCATTCTGTGAAATAAAAGGCAGATTTCTCGTCTATAAATATCGGAGGGATATTCGCTTGAGGGTGATAAACAGGAATAAGTTCTTGTTTATTACGAAGTAAGTTACAGGTTTGCTGCATTAACGCACTAACAAATTGTGTGCCATTATAACTAATCAACCTTCTGGGTAAACCATAACGTACAAAAAAACTTCTTCAATTAAGATTTTTGCACAATTTTTTGCAGTGGCTTCTTCCAAGGCGAAGAGCTCTATCCATTTTGTAATGGTGTCTTCAATAAGAAAAATCCATTTTTTTCCAGTTGGAGTTTCTAGAAGTGGGCCAAAAAGGTCTATAGCAAGTGTTTCAAAACCTTTGTGCATACACAGGTGTTCGAAGTAATCCAGCAGGTTTCTGGTTATTTGGTTTATACCGATTGCACTCAGCACAATTTTTCACGTATTCTGAGAATATACTTTCTCATACCAGGAAAGTAATACCTGGAGGCAATCTTATGGTACGTGCCTTCAGCTCCACAATGTCCTTGCAGTGGGGGAATCTTGTAATACTGCTGTAGGACTCGTTCTAGCTCTTGACAAGTGACAACTAACTGAGCCTCTTCAGAGTCTGTGTCGGAAGAGTAACGATACAAAACTCCTTGATTCATGAGATATCCTCTACTAGTCCAATTTACATAATTTTCATCTTTTTTGCCACTCTCAAAACAATCTATAATTTTCCTTACATCTTCATCTTTCATTTGTTCCTCACGAATGTCTTTAGATTTCCGGGATGGTAAATCTATAGAAACAGCATTTAAATCACAAACAAAGTCATTATTTGCATAAGATGGTCTAGAAAGAAGATCTGCTATAACATTGGATTTTCCTGGAGAGTACCGCTAATTTTGGGATGATATGACTGGATTTGAAGGGCCCATCGAGCCAAACGACCAGATGGTGATTTAATACTCATTAGCCATTTAAGAGGTTGGTTATCAGATGCAATTATTATTTCTTGGATTTTCTATATAACCGCGGAACTTCTCAAGAGCACAAAACTACTGCAAGAGCTTCTCTCTCGGTAGTTGAATAATTTCTTTCTGCTGAGCTTAGCAATCGACTTGCATACTCAATCACACGTTCCTCTGGGCCTTCTCCTTGGATAAGGACTGCTCCTAAAGCATAATTACTGGCATCTGTCCTAATGATGAACGGTTTATTTCCGTCAGGTTGAGATAACACAGGCGGTGAAATCAACCTTTTTTTTTTCAACTCTTCAAATGCTTTTTGTTCGGTTTCACCCCATGTCCACTGTTTATTCTTTTTGGTTAAGTCACTAAGGGGGTCTAGCAACATTCTGAAAAATTAGGGACATATCTTCGGAACCAGGAACACGTCTGTAGAAAAGACTGAACTTCCTTTACGCATGTTGGGTTTAGGAATTTTCTGAATGGAAGATACTTTCTCGGCATCTAGTTCTCTTACACCGTCTTCTGTAATCCAATGACCTAAATACTTACTCTGTCACAAGCAAAATGGCATTTGCTCCTGTTAGCATTTAGTTTAAACAAACAGAAAGTCTTTCAAACACTTTCCTCAAATCTGATAAATGTTTATCAAAGGTTTCTGATAACACTATGATATCGTCGAGATATGACAAGACAGAAACATCTTTTAACCCTGATCTAAATTTATCAATTTCAGTCGTTGAAAAGTTGCAGGCGCGTTCCGCAACCCAAATGGCATTCTCAAAAACTTGGAAAGAACCAAATGGACAAACAAAGGCAGTTTTCTCTTGATCCGCTTCATGAACTTGATGATAAACTGCTCTTAGGTCAATGGTATACATGTATTTCGTTGATTTGGTTTCAGTTAACAAATCATCCATTCTTGGTAATGGATAGGTATCTGGAACGGTTTGGGAGTTTAATTTTCGATAATGTATACACAGTCTGATGGAACCATTAGCTTTAGGGACGACCAACATAACAGGACTCGCATAGGGTGACTCGTATTCCTCAATGATACCCTGAGCTAGTAAGGAATCTAGCTCCTTTTTTAACAACTCTTTCTTCGCGGGTGTCATTCTATATGGTGGCTCGGCAACAGGTAAATTATTTCCGGTCTGGATTCTGTGCTCAATATAAGGAGTAGGGTCTCCCCCTGGCTGAAAGCTAGTTTTATACTCTTCTAACAATGAATTTAATTTCTTCCGTTGTTCTCTCGTCAAATGTTTCCTTCATCATCTCTCAACTTCACGGATTCGGTTGCTTCCGGTATTGCAACAGGAGTGTCAGCAGACGTTTTTGTTTCTGGAGATGTTACTTTCAGAGATGTTAGTACGTTTGGAGTCTCTTTAGTTTCAGATGGTTCTTTGTAAAAGGGATACTGCTTCTGTGGATTTTCACTAAAATACCAAGTGCCATTCTGGATGTTGAGCACTATTCCCGCAGCCTGTAGAAAATCAGTTCCAAGTAACGTCCTGTTACCTTTTGCTTTTGGCAAAGCAATAAATTTCATACGGACTATCTTTCCTTCAACATTAAGATTTACCACTGTAGTCAAAGCTTGAACATTTCTTTCCTTGTCATCAGCTAGTATCATCGTAATAATTTGTTGTTTTAAATCTAAATCCTCGATCTCGTAACAACTTATAAAATCTTTCTCCTGCAATAGAATTCGATGCTCCTGTATCAGCGCAAAAAGCTGCTTTTTCACCACAAACAGTTAAAAAAATGGAACTGGACAGTAGATCGGATGATACAACTGCATACAATTTTACACGATTGACGACAGTTTTAACTTCTTCTTTTAACTTATTACACTTAGGGCACTTTGACTGTATGAAACCGGGATATCCACAACCATAGCAATGAATAGAAGTTTTCCTTTCTTGTCTATAATTAGTAAATTTTGAATTGTCAATGTTTGTATTTTTAATCTGGTTAACGTTTTTAGGATTATTAGTTTTAGATTTTCGTTCTGGAACAAATTTAATATTTTCTTTACAATATGATTTCTTTGCTTTGGAAGATCCATTTTTCTTCATGTCAAGTCTTACATTTTCATAATAATCGAGCTTTTCTGCGAGCTCGAACGGATTGTTAATTTCTGATAAACTGTCCACAAAATGTTCTCTTACCTCGGGAGGTGTTCTTTTCTTTATTTGATCTGCAATGATCAAGTTTTGTAGCTGCTGCTCGAAACTAGAGATATTCAATTCTTTAATCCATCCTTCAAAATAAGATTTCAATTCAAAAGCAAAGTCCTTCCATGTAATTTCTGCAGAATTTCTATGCTGAGAAAACATTTGTCGAAACCTATCAGCTGTGAGTCTATATCGCTTCAAAAGCATAGCTTTTACTTTTGCATAATCTTTAGAATCCTCTTCGTTTTCTTCAACAACTAATTGATTTATTTCAGATGGTAATGATCCAATCAAGTATGGGATCCAATCAGTTTCAGGTATATTTACGAATTTCAATTGATGTTCAAACATGGTCAGATAAAGTCCTATCTCATCTCAACTTTGGGTTAAACTTTGGAAGAATGCGACTCAAATCAAATTTAGACTGATCTACTTGAGAAACAGATTCCTTGGGCATATTCTTATTAGCTTCAAGTTGGAGTTTAAACTTTTCTAATTCAAACTCGCGTTCCTTGGCTAATCTTGCTTCTACTGCTTCTTTTTCAGCCCTATCTTCAGCTTCTTTTTCGGCTTGTACGCGATCATCGATTATATTGTTTAACATATTTTTTGTAAATTCTTCATTATAGGTTTTAGAACTCGTTATCAGATCTCTCAATTGCACAGCTTTTAAGTTATCTGCAACTTGTAATCCAAGCTCTAAAGCTAGTAATTTAAGGTCCTCTTTGCGGCCTTTGCCATCTCGAAGGGAATTTATGTAAAAGTTTTTTTTTCCCTTTAAATAGTTGAAAAAGTCTCTAATCTAAGTTAATATTGTTCACTAGTAGAAATTATAAGAATAGGGAAAATGAAACTCTTAAAACTTACTATTATACCTTTTTGATTTCGAATATAATATCTTCATTAACAACTTAGAACAATAAAGGAATATTAATATTTCTTAAATATATTTTGAGCACAAATTGCATAATAACAACACCTTTGCAATCAGAAGTTTCTTAAACAGAATTGTTTTTGTATACATACACATATATGTTGAAAAATTAGAAATAATTTCAACACTAATTATTTAAAATGTAATACAGTATGACCGAATGTAAGAATCAAATTCAATCCTTAGCATTAATTATAGTATGTAAGTTTAAGCAATGAGGGTTTAATTTAATAGCAATGGAATATACTTTCAAAAATTCCACGTAAGCAATATCAAATTTCACAGAATTCTAATCATATATTACTCTTTACACATTCGTATAAAAATAATATTTTTTATTTACCAAACTAGTTTTATTGAGCTGCCAACATCATTAATCTTTCACTCTTAAAATAATGAACCTGAAAGCATATTAATACGACACAAATTCTAAATAAGAGTTATAAATAAAAAGGAAAATAGCAAGATATTTTGCAATAACAGACACCGCTTATCTCAATAAATTATTCATTACGATAAACATACTCTAATTCAGGTACGAATCATGCTTAAGAATCGTTATTTACTAGTGATCCCTTTCGTTCAAGAACAAACCTTTATTTTGGCAACAATCTTCTCAGATGTAATAAAATACGTAATACTTATTTCAAAAGCAAGTTTTGTTTTTCAGTTATATTATAACCATTTAACAAACAAAAATCAAGCTTCTAAACACTTATAAACAATATTAATTGCAAATATAAAATCATTTCTACAAATTTTAATAACATTAACAAAGAACTGCTTTTGCTCTTTTTCTTTAAAAAAGATACAGATGTACTATATAATTGAAGATACATATTTATTTTCTCATAATTGAAATATCATGGGTTGTAATAATATAATTTAAGACCTTCTAACTTCCGAATGATCAAAATACAATCTCAGTTAAGTATTGTTTCGGTTAATACTTAAATATTTATGAAATAAAACAGACTTTCACTCTATGTTAAACCATCACAATGAATGAAATTTTACACAAAATAAATATCCTACCTACTGTGTAACTGCTTCACACTAAAACAAAGGACTTTGGATTAATCCTTCATATTTCGAAATGGATACTCGAAATTGTTCATATCACCAGAAAAGCTAGAAGAAAAAATGAGCTCGAGTTTCGGTAAAGAGTACGACTTTTATTTTAGAATAATTTTAAATTTTCGAGGCCCACCGTTGAGCAGCCATTTTCTTTTATGTAGCGGTGTGACCAGAGTTAGCTGTAAAGTTGTTAAACAAAACTGGTAAAATTTAAACCAGACAAACTTTAACATTTAACAAAAGGAATTTAATCAAACACAAACACTATATAAAGAAAGTTACATGACAAAAGTAACAAGAAGTAACGCAAAGATATATTACTCAAATGAAAATAAAAAGTACATGTTCATAGTCCTCTGCTAACTAACTAGTTCTGAAACTCAAACTAACAAGTTCGGTCGTAGGTGTTTTCGAATAGCGTCCGATAAGGTGGCGCTGCAGTACATGAGGCTGTTTGCTAGCGTTCGTTACAAAGCAAAATATTTTTATTGAAGATGGCTCACGAAAGGTGAACAGGCTATTATAGCTATTTGTTCACGTGATATTGTTTACAACTAAATTCGGAAAAGGTAGCATAAATTAATTTCCTCAGTAAAGTCTTAATGAAAATACAATTTAACATGATAAAAAGTGAATAAACTTACAGCTGAAAGCTGTACTGTTTAAAAATAAACCATGTAAAAATATATGTGTATAAAAGAATATATGTGTATAAAAGAATTAAATACACATATATTTTTACACGGTTTACTTTTTCCCCAAATAGTAAGTGACCTTTTTCCCCTATTATCACTAGTTATAATTAAATGCTGTAAACTGTCAATACTCTTTATTACTCTTATTTGAGAATAACGAACTTTTAAAGCGTTGAAACTTTCTTAGGGGTTTTTAAGAATAAGATTTTGATTAAATATCTTTTCAAGCATGATAATTTATTTTATGAAATATTTGCACCGATGATTATAAATCTTACACTGTGCAAAAAAATAAATAAATAAAAGGGAAACTATTATTTATAAAATTAAATACCAAGTGCCATTCTGGTATTAGTGCATTCTTAAATGAACACTAGTCTCTACTCACTTTCAGCTTCTGAAAATATTGAAACCTAGAATAACACGCCAGGATATGCAGTGCTAGTGAGTAAGTTTAAATTACTTCATGCGTGTTAGAAGGGGTGTTGGAACCCCAAAATCTTCAAAAAAATTGTGATTTCGAATTTTTGCATTTTCAAATTCTCTATACAGTTAGCTTTCTAAAAATACCATTCTTTAATCTCTATTAAAATTAGAATTATAAAAAATCTAGTTTTCATTTGTCATCGAATGCTTTGATCAATAAGGATTTTTACATAAAAACTCGCTTTTCTCCAAACGTGATTTTTTTTAATTCGATGTACCTTTTCTCAGGAACTGCTGCTCACAAGTATCTAACATTTTATGGCTTATTTATTAGGTTTCCTAACATTTGCTTGAAATGAGCTTTCTGTGATAAACTTGGGAAAAAAATTAATTTTTTTTTTTTTTTTTTTTTTTTGTGTGGAGAAGAATGCTAAATTTTATTATGCCTTACAAAATATTCTGCAATTTGTTCTAAAATTCAAATGTTTCAAAAGCGCATTTCAGTATAATCAAATAGGTATACTTTAAATACATAAAAATATTCAAGCGTGAATCTAAAGCAGATGTTGAGAAAAGGTACAGCGAAAATGGCCAATTTAACATTGTGAATTAAGGGTTGCTGATACCCATTAAAACAATAGTTTCCAAAGGAAGCAATTTGGTGTTTATAATCGTACACAGACTTTTGGATAGAATAATTTTCTTATCCCCAAATGTTAAAAATTCACTGTTGATTTTATATTTTAATACATTTACAATAACTTTGGATTTTGGGTATCGTTCATTATGAATTTAAAAAATATAAATTTTAAAGGGGGATTGTTCTATGCAGCTTTTCATTTAATCCATTTCGAAAGCCTTAATGTACATTATATGGACTTCCCCCCCTTACCTAGGACAGTGCTTAGCGACTAAGACTGCCATACTGCCCACCAGCGGCCGATCAGTAAAGTTGCTCAACACTGGTAGTTCCAACCGGGGTTAGAATCCAGGTGAGTGGGCTAGCTGCATATGCAATCTCGTAGTTTTCCCCGTGTGTAACGTGTATACGAGCCAGTTTCACTTAAAACCTCCTCCATGAAGGTATCCCTTCCCTTCAGCAGATAGCCCTAGCGTGCTTTGTCATAGTAAACTAAACCAAACTGACTGCCGTACCGAATGTTCCGGGTTCAAATCCGAAGAAAACGTGGTTTTTTGTAAATGTATAATGCCTGTGCGTCATGGGAGCACATAAAATATGCGGAGAGCCAAAAGTCTTCTCGAGAGGTTGTAGGGAAGAGGGGTGGGAAACCCTCGGATTCGTCCCCTCTCGGGGGCTTTCTTTAAAATTGGAGGCGTAACGAAGTAAAGTCGTAATGTCATCTGTATGGTGCCCAAAGAGGCTCTTGCGAATGATAGACGCAATCTCGCCTTCTTGCCACGATACCCACGGAATATTCTGATGTTAGACAAGCGAGATTAGTCACAATAAAAACTACATTATATGGACTTAATCGAATTAAAGAAAAATATAAATTCACAGTTCTGGTAGGCAGTGGCAGACTATTGAACTACAATCTCTTTTGGAAAGAATAACAAGCAAAGAAAAAGGAAGTGAAGACTGAACGAAAAAAAAGCATGTAATTATTTTTGAGATATCAGAAAAACCTATAAATTACATTCCTTATTTCATACCCAAGCATATATTAAATCCCGATTAAATCTGCGTGATCATTAAGAACGTTGCAATTTTGCTTCCCGCCTAAGGCTCATTAATAACTTATATTGAATAATGTTTCCCTTGGTGATAATTATATACATTTACAATCTTTCTTTGAAAAGTATTTAACTCAAAATATGATTTTTTTGTAAATTAAAAATAAGGATACCGAAGAAAATATTTGTCAAACTTTATTTAAATATTTAGGTCATAAAATTTGACGGAATATAAATGGTGTACTTTCAAAGTATATGATTAAAACTTTTTCGAATTAAAATTCATTCATATGAAAGCATTATTTTGAAATTTATTTCCTTATTTAACGAAATAACATTTAACGTAATTTTATATATTTTAAAATTATTCATTTTTGTGCTTGTCAAGTGTCAAATGCAAATATGAGTATTAAAAAAACGGTTGTGAACTAAAAATGAGGAAAAATTACACATCAATCTTATACAAACTGCACAACTTTGGCAAATATTTAAATACCACAAAATTTTAGGAAATAATTTGCGTT